GCGCCGTTCACGCCAAAAAGCGTGGTGAACGTGATGAAGTACGTGACCGGGTCACCACCGCACCACCGGGCGCCGGCGGGCGGCCAAGGCGAGTTCATGGCGGCGCAGGAGTCGCGGTACGTGGCCATCCGACCGGCGGAGGAGGTGAACCGGTTCCTGCCGGACGCGGACGCACCGCCGGCCGGCGGTTCGAAGAGGTTCCGCAACAAGTTCGGGCCGCCGGTGTTCCTGACGCCGCCGATGGTCGCGTTCCCGGACGACTTCATGAAGCCGCCCAGCCCAGGCGCGCAGTTCTCCACCGACTTCGAGACGGCCGCGGCGGACGTCGTGTTTCACGAGGGCTCGGCCACCGTGCCGCTGCACACGGACGTGGTGTTCCGTCATCAGCAGCCGACCACCAGCACCGGTTACGCCGTGCCCGACGCACCGGTGGCCGAGGCGGCGGTGCCGAACAAGCCGAAAAACGGCAAGGCGAAGAACAAGAAGCCCATCAGCATGGTGGTGGACATTTACCCGCTGGCGGACCGCGAGCACGAGGACGTTGAACAAGGTCAGCTCCGTCCGCACTCGTTTGACGACATACGTTCTTATCGCGTCCCGCAGGTCCCTTCCCCCGTCCCGGTCATCCGCGCGCGATATTATTGCTTGTTCCCGTCCGTGCACCGTGTACGTAAACCGCGTCATTTTCGAACTCCCGGGCCGAACTATTCGTTTATCGTTTTCAACGGTGATCCTGACGGAAAAGTAGATTACCGCAGTTTTTTGATCTTTCGACACGTCCTTCAACAACTAATGGAATAAAAATCACCCGACACATAGCTGATTAAATTATTGTTAAAATAAACGTATTTTTCTATATCGAATTCGATTTAAATGACCATATTCGTTCCAAAGAAACCAACAACTTTGTTACACTGTGCGTATGATTTCACGAACTCGGTTTACGATAACCTAAAAATTGAATTCATTGAACACCCGTGGTATCGAAAAATGTGTTTAGAAAAATTATGTTTGCAACAAGTTTTCATTTGTATTTGATTTATCCTCGGAAATTGACCCCTTAGATACACTTACGTTCATTTTACTAACAATTTAATTAATCATATTGTATCAAGTCATGGAAAATATATAGAAATATTAATAATTTTTTCACAGTCGAAGAATATGAAGAGGATCACAGTTCTGAAATGTTTACCTCACTCAAGAATAATATTCAGCTATCAGATGCAGAGAAGTTATTGCTTCGATTGAACCTATTTCCGAATTTCAGTCAAGAAGGCCGAAGAATGTTTGTATTATAATCAAAATTACACTCTTAAGCATTTTTTCAATTTACAAGTTTATTTCTTTCTGTCTAGGTCTATAGGTAAAAAACACGAAAAACTAGAGGATAAAAAGCCAATAATTCATTTAACGACCAACAAACCATTAGAAATAACATAAAAAAAATATATATACAGAAGTCTCGTTTGATTTCTAACACTAAATTAAATTAAGATAAAAAAGACAATAATAACGAAGATGATGAAATATTTTTTGAAAATTAATACAAATCATAATCAAAAATCCTATCAAATATATCAAAAATTAAATTATTGCACTCAGAAGACTTGAATCGTATAATCAATATAATTTAGTTATTATAGGTTAAATAAATCTAAACAATATTTATGGAACGAAACTTACGATAAAATTTGTAGATTATTAGAAGCGTTTCACTTATTTGGATTAAGTTCATAATTTATAATATTGTTCAGTTGGTTTCAATAATATAAGCCAATGTGAAACATAGTATTAAATACGTGCCAGCAAATTAATTTTTCACTAATTGTTCCTGTTAGAAATTAAAAAATAATTACTTGCACACCTGAATGCGTTCCAGCAATTACAAAAAAAAAAAATATAATAATATTATAACTAAGCATCATAATAATATTAATTTTGAAAAACTATACATATTCGTATTTTAATCTGAATGAATTATCGGCTACATTAGCAAAATAATGGGAAAGTTCTAATGGTTTGCAACATAGAGTGTTCAAATGCAAACAAAGCTGTTGATAATTCAGGCGCATATTCCGTAATTTTTATAACTCTTACATATGTTATAATTAGTTAATATTTCTATATTATATACACCTAAAAAGGTACCTACTTATTACAAAGATAATAAATATATACCTAAACAGTAAACGGTTAGCAATTAATATTTTTGAAGAATGGATAATAGGAGGAATAGGAATGGAGGTAAATATTTGATAAGAAAATTATTTTTCGAATGAAAATAAATTGTATTGACTTCATATATATTGTATCAACATTTGAAGTGTAGATTTTTTTAATTCGTTAGAAAAAACATTTCAGTTATTAACTAGAATTTTAAGGTAAAAATGTTATTTATTTTATGTTTATGTTAAATTTTTTTTTTTTTTTATTAATATTATATTTATATTAAATAATATGCATCATATTAAAAACAAAATAAGTCCAGTGGATGATGCGTGTCGTAATCAAAATATTTTAAATAAATCGAGTAAAGTTTTACGAATATCCATGTATATGTACGAATATGTATCTGCATCAAATTTAGAATAAAGTTATGTATAATATAAAATACCAGTATAAATATATCTATGACATAAGGCATTCTACAAAAAAATTTAAAATTATACATGTTCAAACATTCAAAATTATCTATACATTTAAAAATTAAGATTTTAACAATGAGACCTAATAAAGTTTTGATGACTTTATAATGTTTGAAATATAATATTTATTTTAAGTATTTATAATTATGGACTATTATTTACAAATGACTATGTCTCTATAAATACTACAATGAATAATAATAATAATAATAATGAATTAATATTAATATTTTAATAAGATAAAAATGATCTAAAAAATGAAGATTTGCGAATATCTTTCCTTTTTTTTTTTTTAATTTAATTTGATTTATAAAATGGACTTGATTTAATAAAATCATATAATATTGGTTAAAATTCATATATTTTTAATTAAAATATTTGTATTCTTAATAAATGTATAGGTACTCACTTAAATAATTTCTAACTATTAAATAATTTTATAATTTCAATGTCAAATGATTCTAAGCTCCCGATTTTTTGTGAGCGCAACTGAAAACTTTTTACTCTCTTGGCATAACCTGAAATAATGATTTAAAATAGAGCACAAATAATACTTTGCAATAAAAGCTCAACTCAGCTAAAACTTTTAGTAAGTTCAAAATGTTATTATCAACTGGTAAATTATCCATTAGGTATGTTATATAAAATGTAATCAATTTAAATGTAACGATGTTATAAAGTTTTACATATAAAATAAACTTACTTCAGTAAATTTTCTAATAATTAATTTATATTTTTCTATATCCTTATTATTGTAGTTTAAAAATATTTATAAAATGGTTTTGTTATTTAATTAAATAATAAACAGTGTAATATTAACACATTTATAAATAACGCTAAATTATAAATAACATCTTTAAAAATTCTCATAAAAATAAATCTTGATGAAAATCTTGAATCTTATATTTTTAATGAGCATTTAATTTTTCGGAAACGACAACTTTATTGCACATTATAAAAGTAGTGACTCTAAAATGTCAAATATGATTTTAGATTAAATCTATACATTATATTAAATTATTTCTTATAATTATAAAAGAAACGGAGAATTTGATTATTATAACAATGATATTATTTGTTCATTGTATTTTGATCAATCATATATTGAATTGTAGTTTAGGTAAAGATGTATCACAAACATCACTCTGCACAAAACATCGTCTTTTATTGACCGTTATTTTGTAGTAATATCACTCTGTCAATCATCCATATTATTATTCGATTTGAAAATTAATTTAACGTACATTACTTTATAGTAAGATACAGAATTTAAGTAGATAATTTACACAGATCGTGTAAATTTTTCAACACTTTAATTAACCAGTGACTTGAATTCTAAATCGATCGGTACAAAAACGATTGTTTTTTAGATTTTAAGTGTAACGAGGAATTAATTGATTTCACCACGATGTATCTTTTAGTATAAAATATGAATAGGGCAATTGATTTATGTGTTCAATTGAATTCGCTACAATTTGGAACATGCAGATATTACACAGGAAATAATTGAAAACAAATGAAATAGCCATGAACCGAAAATTTCTAATAATTAGTAGGTAGTACGACAAATAAATATTTGCGTTTCTTCATATTTTCATATTCAAAAAACTTACAATCGTGTACAGTATTACATTAGGTGACAATTATATGTGATACATAGTAGAACATAACTATTAAATAATTAGTGTTGAAAATCTGTGCTATACACTAATATTATTTTTTTATCATATGGTTTTTCAAATGTTATGTATATAAATCGTTAAATAATAATAAGAATTTATTATCTTCGAGTTTATTCATTGCTGTTAATAAGGTATTTTTTCTCTTTTTGTTGTGCAATCATCTATCTTGCTATTTTATTTTTAATAATCAAATATCCTTTTATTATACATGAACATTTAATAAAAACATTGTTGCTTAATATTTGTATTTATTTTTAAATGTTTCTTACCTTATTTTTTCTACTACAATTCTTATTTGTGTAAAGAATTATTGAATTTTAATAAACATTTTATAAATAAAACTCAAAACAATTTATGTGAAAAAATTGTATGGTTACTTTGTACAATGCCAATAGATTTAATAACATCGGATAAATTGTTAACGAGTCCAAAATAGTATAACTGTCACCAGACTAACATTTTTTTAGCTACCTATTTATTATCAGTTAATATCATGAATCCATATCGTAGATATTCAATCTACATAAAAATAATACAGATTAAATTATCTATTGATTAAAATATCATTAAAATTCCATTCACCATGATTCTTTTACTAACCATGATAATACTAAAAAATTTTAAATTAGATATTCAGCAAAATTGCATTATAAAATTGTATTTATAATAAAATAAATAAATAATTAAAAAAAAAAAGCCAACGGCACGTAGTGTTCCCAAGCGGTCACCCATCCAAGTACTAACTACGCCCGACGTTGCTTAACTTCAGTGATCGGACGAGAACTGGTGTATTCAACGTGGTATGGTCGTTGGCGTTGTAGTAATAATTATTTAACGGTATTTATTATGTGTAAACATAGCGTTAATAATGCACACTGAAAGGTAAAAACTACTATTGCCCTTGATTTTTTTAGTTAATAGATTCCTAACCCCAAAATACATCACAATTCTTCTACGTATAAAAATATTAAAAATAAACTATAGTAATTAGCCAATAGGCTAATATAAGCTAATAGATATATTAGCTTATATAGAGGTAACTGACAATTTTGACAATTTGCTAATATTTTACTATCCATAACATCGCAGAAAATTGTTGACATTTTTCAATAACAGCAGCATATTAGATAATACTTTATTACATTAATTTATATTTGTTTACAAAAGTTTATAGTTGAGTCCCAATGTGCATAAATGTATAACTTATATTATTTAATAAGGTTTAAGCCTCACAATAATATAATTATAATTGTTATTGCATAAATTTTATTTGCAGTAAACATATATATATTTGATTATAATTATATTTGATAAATAACCACGAAACTATATTTTTTTTAAAATGAATAGGTAGGTATTCAATCATTTAATATTAAGTTAAGGAATAAATAAAAAAAAATTGAATAGGTAAGCAACCTATCTTATTTAATAGGTATGTTATTAATATTATACGTAGTTATAATATTAACAAGGGTAGAAAATATATTTAAGAGGTAAGGTTGCTAAACACCCGCTGCTGGATCTGATTTTTAAAGTGATTTCGTTGGTTGGTGGTATTTTTCCATTCACAATATGCTACCCCTATTTATTTTTGAGTGTGTGCCTGTGTCTAGTTTAATCATAAGAATCTCTAATATTGCACTTATTATCATTAAACATGGTGGAAAAAAAAATGCAAAAAACTAGGTCTGAAAGAAGGCCCTGTACATTATCTAACTAGAAGACTCGGGTTCGAATTCGGAGTTTAATGCGCTAATTAGTTTAGCTAGGTACTAGATTTTCTCAATACATGGGTCACGGCCAGGGTTTGAAGTGGCAAAAAAAGGCAGGGATCCAATCCATATATCATTCTCAGCGTTAAACATAGTCCTATACAATTACTAGGTTATATATATGTTATGAAGTGTTTTTAGTGCATAATTTCCAATGATAAAGTACATATAACTTTAAAATATCCATATAAATTATTATTTAAACATTGTTATTAATGATATATTACCCAATTATGACTTTATTGTAATAGGAAATTAATAAACAACTTCAATCAATCGAGATTCTAACAAAACGAAATAGTTTATAGTTAATATATAAGACGTTCAGTAACAAACTTTAGGTACTTAATGCATCCGTGAACAATAGAAAATATTATCAAATGGGTTAAAATTATGGTTTT